TTGAATATTATTTGAATCATTTGAATATTATTTGAATCATTTGAATATTATTTGAATCATTTGAATATTATTTGAATTACTTGAATATTATTTGAATTATTGGAATATTATTTGAATTATTTGAATATTATTTGAATTATATTTGAATATTATTTGAATATTATTTGAATTATATTTGAATATTATTTGAATATTATTTGAATTATTTGAATATTATTTGAATTATTTGAACATTATTTGAATTATTTGAATATTATTTGAATTAAAGGGGAATACAGGGAGCAAACGACGTACCTCCTTCTATCTGGGAACATCATCTGATCATCGTTCACGAACTCAATCTGATGGTATNATTTGAATATTATTTGAATCATTTGAATATTATTTGAATCATTTGAATATTATTTGAATCATTTGAACATTATTTGAATTATTTGAATATTATTTGAATTAAAGGGGAATACAGGGAGCAAACGACGTACCTCCTTCTATCTGGGAACATCATCTGATCATCGTTCACGAACTCAATCTGATGGTATCCGACTTCCGGCTGGTAAAACGTGTAAGGGAACTTCCTGGTCCTCAAGAAGGTGGACTCCTGGACATAAACGACTCCGTCATTCGGTTTCTTCAGCGTGGTCGCATCCTGGAGGTCGGGCCGTTGGTTCTGGTGCTCGGGAAGGACGCCCAGATACGGCAGCCTCGACGTCTCCGCGCTCGAATAGCCCCCTAATTCATACTTCTGCGGGTCGATCTGAAACTTGGACGGTTTGCCAAAAATTACGGGCCAGTTCTGCAGGTTTGCCGGCTTCTCGAAGCCCTGCAGAGCCTGCTGCTGACCAAGGCCGGCGGGGTAGGCCGCGGCATTTTCCACGATCGGATGAACGAACTGATGTTGAAGAGGTTGATTCTTATAGACGTAATGAACCCGCGGAACTTCGACAGGGCTGTCCTGGAATTTCACGTAGTTACTCGGCACGTTTTCACCCTTCTTGCCCTCTTCGGTCGATCCGGCGTAAGCCTCGAAGAAGTTCTGTAGACCCTGATGATTCTGGTAACGCTGATGATTCACGTGGTCCGTTCCGATCGGCTGATTGACCGGCTCGTAGACCAGCTGGACGTTCTTAAACGGCTGCTGCTGCTGCTGGATGCCGGAGTCGACTTCGTTCTCGAATTTGATGTGATGGACGTTGTTGAACAGATTCGCGCTTGTCCTCGGCTCCGTGATCTCCCCTAGGTGAGTGCTCGGCGTGAACTGCCGGGAGATGTTTTTCTCTTCGGTGATCACGATTTTGAACTGTTCGGGCTTGGCGTCGCTGGTCGAGGACACGGTGGTCGTGGCAGATTCCGCGGCGAACTCGTTTTCGCTGGGGGCCTCCTCGAAGAAGTCTTCCAGCAGATTCGCTGTTCGGTCCTGCGACTCGTTCTGCTGCGCTTTGCGGTCGTTCGCGAAAGCCGAGGTTGCGTTCAGCAACAGATACAACGAGAACAGCGTTGAAGCGTTGATACGAAAATGCATGTTGTCGGAGGGATTCTATTTTCGAGCGGCAGCGACGAGGAGAGACGAAGTCGTTTCCATCGCGGTGCGACTGTTACGACTAAACTGTTCGTTCGCTCGTTCGAAGGCTTTAACTCGCGACAGGTATTTTAAAAAGCGTGAACACGAGAGAGCGATTTCGTCTCGTTAATCGCTAGGACTCACTCCAATTGTCGTTGACAAAGTATACGTTTAGTTCCAGCAGTCAGCATGGGCTCTGGGCCTCTGTCTGAGGTAATAGTTTACGGAGCTGCGTGTCCTCTTGACTCGCTGGTGGCTTCTTCAAGGTGTCTTTTGGGTACAATGACGACGACGACAGACGATTATTCTGGCCAGTTTCGATTCAGCCCCCTCGTAATTGTTGCAATTACGCGAAAATAATGTTACAAATACGTTTCTGTGATTTAGCGAACGCGAGGATAAGACACGTGTTTCCGCGACGTTAGATATTTTATAGTTGTCTTGATATTTTGCAGTTATGTTATAGTTTGTATCGTAGAAAATTATTCCAAGGAATTTTTAAACGATATTAATAGAATATTATGCCGAATCTTATGCGAATAATTATACTTAAGATAATTATTTGCAAATATAATTATTCACATTTTTAAACGATATTAATGGAATTTTATGCCGAATCTTATACGAATAATTATACTTACGATAATTATTTGCAAATAGAATTATTCACATTTTTAAACGATATTAATGGAATTTTATGGCAAATCTTATGCGAATAATTATACTTAAGATAATTATTTGCAGATATAATTAATCACATTTTTAAACGATATTGATAGAATTTTATGGCAAATCTTATGCGAATAATTACACTTAAGATAAATATTTGCAAATAGAATTATTCACATTTTTAAACGATATTGATAGAATTTTATGGCAAATCTTACGCGAATAATTATACTTACGATAATTATTTGCAAATATAATTATTCACATTTTTAAACGATATTGATAGAATTTTATGGCAAATCTTACGCGAATAATTATACTTACGATAATTATTTGCAAATATAATTATTCACATTTTTAAACGATATTAATAGAATTTTATGCCAAATCTTATGTGAATAATTATACTTAAAGATTTTTGCCATAAGATTCTATTAATATCGTTTAAAAATGTGAACAATTATATTTGCAAATATTTATCTTCAACCTTATATATTAGTTCGTATCTCATTCGAAGTATAACTTTCTAGTTTGTGAATAAATACGTTCGAGTCGCTGGCAAACATCTGAGAACAACTACGGTCTGCAGCACTTGCCATAAGTGGACAGTGATCACCGGTCGAATCTTAACATCAGACAGACTTGTCGTTATCATTCATCGAACGAAATAAATTCATGATATCTGTGCTAAGCACACTCTTTTTTTTTTGCTACAACGTCGTGTCTACGTTTGCAACCTCACCTCCCCCTTATCTGTGACCACTACCTCCTCTCTCTCTTCACCTCCGGAGAAGCGAATTCACTTCTCTGTTGCTCTTTCTTTCATTTGCGATCTTCCATTCTCCATTTTCCGACGCTCACTGTCGATATAACAACTTTTTCACAGCTGTTTTTCTAGAAAAAAAACAACGAAGTTTCAAGAAATTGGTAATGTTTTTCGGTGCATAAAAGAATAAATCAACTCCACGTATCTTTTTTTTCCAGACTTCACTGCAGATATCAACTTCATGTATTGGGTTGGCAACTAAGTAATTGCCGATTCGTTCAATGAAATAAAAAATTTCTTTTTACTTGGAATGAAGTTTAATCTGTAATGTATTTTCCATTTTGTTCGATGACCTTTTGCCATCTCTCTGACAACTTGAAAATTCCACGCTCGTAGAAAGTCTGATCCTTTTCGGCCAAAAACTGAGTTAAGCGAGATTTTACAGCGTCATCATCATTCAAAGTTTTACCACGAAGGGAGTTGTCCAGGGATCGAAATAAGTGGTGATCCGATGGCGCGAGATCAGGGCTATGTGGTGGGTGTAACATCAATTCCCAACCAATATCCATCAAATTTTGCCGAGTGGACAAAGACGTGTGCGGCCTAGCATCGTCCTGATGGAAAATGACACCTTTTCGATTGACCAATTCTGGTCGCTTTTCCTTGACCACTGCATTCAATCTGTCCAGTTGCTAACATTCACGGATAATAAAAAATAACATAATAATAATAATAATTTTATAATATAACATTTACGGATATCATAAAAATGGGAGTGAGAGACGTCTATAACTGAAATCGGCGATTGCTTAGTTGCCAACCCGATATTTCCGAAGAGAAATATTGGCCGAAAAATAACGTTGCGAAAAAAAGAACTATTTGTTTCATCGAATCTGCACGAATACAATCTCACGACGAATTTTAATATAATAATTTCACGAATCGTGTTCGAATTGATGATAGATCTGAGAAAATTCTCTTAGCGCGTGAGGGTTGAAACATAGTTTCTTAACGTTAATCGTATGTACAGTGGTCCGCAAAAGTGTTGGTACACTTTCAAAACGCAATAACTTTTTCAAAATTGGTCTAAGTGACTTTATTTTTGTTTAGATGATAGCGAAACTGGTCTACTAGACGATGACCAAAATGCTTTTTTTAAATTTCGCTATTACTTGGAATGACAAAAATAAATGAAAAAGCTCTCGCTTTTTAACTTTTTTATCTGAGCCAATAACGGAAATTTAAAGAATGCCTCTAGCAAAATTTTAAAAAAAGCATTCTAGTCATCGTATAGTAGACTAGACCCTCTATTACCTAAAAAAAAGCATTTACATCATTTAATTATGTTTTTAAAATAGTTATTACGTTTTAGAAGGTGTACAAACACTTTTGTGGGCCACTGTAGATCATGCTATCAATCCTGCCATAGGCTGAATTTCAACCCTTAACAGAGTAAGAGCACGCCAAATCAACTGAAACTGTCGAATGATTATTGACAAAAAATAACACTGACAGACCTTAACAAACCTGATGTCACAGAAAAATCGTTTCTCTAAAATCTCGCACGCCTCGAATCCAAATTCAGTTATCGATCGATCGTAGCGTTTGAAAAATTGTTTTAATAACAGCTTTTCGAATGAGACTATATCGGATCAAAAATATCAGACATCGAGCGTCGAGTAAAACGATTAACCCTTTGCACTCTGCTGTCCCCTCACGTGGGACATCGTAATTCTAGCATATCGCTCGGATGTCCCCTCTCGTGGGACATTCAAGTTTATTAGTGATTACGGGGAATTCAGTTATTTCAGCGCAACTTTTTTGAGACATGCATGTTTCCCTGAAGCTTTCTCTTGAAGTGGCACAAGAAATCAAATCAAAATATAGTAAAATTACTAAGATATATACAAGAAATGTCAACGGGTTTTGACGAAAACGTGAGAGGCGTGCTCACGACGGTCCAAGCACTTCAAAGGCGCCACTTGAAAAGAGTGATAAGACAAATTTGTAGAAGAAAGATCGGTATGCGAACATAGCACGCATTGTATAGTGAGATTTATAATCATAAAATCTGAAGGAAAAGATTTTCAAAGCTGAACTCAGTCTGGTTTGAAGCGTCGAGCGGTATAGATAGATCTAACGAGTGAGAAAGTCGGAAAAGTGATTCTTCTCTTGGTAAATAAATTGTTTGGTAATAGTTTTTTTGGTAAATATCATCTTGTGAGTTAGTAATAACAATTAGAAATTTTCAACCTA